ATCCCACGGATAAAATATTCTTCTTTAAGCTTTTCACATATCGCACTCCCGAAATAGTACGACTTGAGTCATCATACATCTTAAATTTGATGGTGCCAATACCGGCAATCTCTAAAGCATAATCATTACCCATGAATCTTGAGCCTTAAAAGATGGGTTCATATGTATGAAACTAATCTTGATTAGGAGTCATATGTCATGTTGCTCCTAAATCCATTAAGCAAACCTCAGTAAGCTTTTTTCTATTTGTAGAGACTATCGCTATTTCACTATATAAAACCTATCCATCTTCTAAGGTGCTTGCAACATATACTTAATGTTTTGATGACTTTACAATGTTCTCTATACCCTTTTTAAACCAACAATCCTTTTTCAAGTGCCTTTTTTTGCCGCAATTGTAGCATTTCACAGTCTCCTTACTTCTTGATTTGGACCTTTCATGCTTTTGACTCCCATTAAAGCCACATTTCGTTGATCTTTCTCTTGACTTCAATAACACCTCTGCTAATGATTTCTGTCTTCTTTATTTTTCATGCCTATTTTTTTCTTCCAAGATAGCAGCTGCAACATCATAGAAGCCTAAATAGTCTAAGAGGATATTATTGGTCAAGTTGATAATGAGTTGATCATACAAATTAGGAAGACTTTAAAATAGAAGCTCTACACATTCATTTTCCTTTACTTGTTAACCCAACGTAGTGAGTTGTGAAAATAGAGTTTCTATTGTGTTGAAGTGATTAGTTATTGACGTGGTTTATACCATTCGAGGGTGTAAAGTCTCCACTTTAAAAAAAATCTTATTGTATAAAGACTTGGGCTCGTATAACTTTGTTAGAGTATCTCATATCTCCTTAGTTATTTTTTTTCTCTGCCACACTTGATAATACTTCATCAGTTAATGCTAAATGTATGTTACCAATGGCATTGCTATCCATCTCATTCTATTTTGTATTATTAGTGATCTCTGCAGGTCGATCCCTAATTGCTATCAAGCAATTGTCTTTCCTTAATATTGTCTTGATTCTCATTTTTCATAGTGAGAAATTGCTCCACTTAAACCTCTCAATCTCGTACTTTACTGTCATTTTATTCACCGTGATCTATTCAGTTATTACCGCTTCACAGATCTATAACATATATAGAAATAGTATCGCGTGAATAATACTTTACTAAGTAAGTTCCCAGAAAAGATTGGAGGGGTCACAAACAATCCTGCTTAAAACTCAATCTCCTTAGACAGAACTTTCTAAATTGTGTTTAATCACTGGCTTTCTATATACTCTAGAAGCCTTAGATAGAACTTCTTAGATTGTATTTAATCACCGCACTGACTTTTTATATATGCTAATAGCAACGTATGTGAATAATATCATATGAATAAATAGTGTCGTATAGGTGAATAATATCATAGACATGAATAGTACCGTAGATGTGAATAGTAACCGTATACACGAATAACTTTCGTGTGTTAATAACACCAACTAGGAGGCTCTAATACCACTGTTAGGATATTGCATAAAAATCCGACAAGATAAAAGGCAAAGGATAGGATAAAATGAGACACATAAAAATTTACATGGTTCACCTAATTTTAGCTACGTCCAGGGGCAAGTATAGAAGAATTTTACTAAGTAATGTGAGAATTACAACCTCTCTCTACTAATAGAAAAACAATTGAAATCTCTCTATTACTAGGAGAAAATACATCACTTACTCTCTTCACAAATACTTCACAATTTTGTGGGATTACTTTCCCTCTCTCACTCTTCTTTTCTTCTCTTCTGTTTCTCTCTTATGGTGTGCATTTAAAGCTTAAATGCATTGTCTATTTATAATCAAAAGTGAGGGGACAAAGATCATAAATCATGGCACCAACTATGCCACAAATTATGCCAACAACTCATCTCCACTCATACTCCATCAATTATGCCAATAAGTCATCTCTCATTTATTTTTGTGTAATAACTCATCTTCCAGCAATTACGTGGATTTAATTAAGTGGCTTTACATTTGTTGGGATATTGCCACTTATATGACAGTATTTGCTGTCATTGTCAAAGAAAGAAAGCCAGCTTGTAAGAGTCAAAGAGAGTTGTTAATACAACAACTGAAACTCACAAAGTAGGTAAAGGTTAGGCGGCCACCATTGTTGAAGATGAGCTGGAGCTGGTGGCACCATTCTTGCTTATATATAGGCACTAAAAGAGTAGAAAAGGAGAGAGAGAGAGTGCAGAATGCGAGAGACTAAAAGAGAAAGTGAAGGGCTGCCAATAGCAGTAGCTGCAAGTGCAGCAATGAGAGATGGGAGTTGAGTAGAGTGAATGTAATTTTTCTATTCCATGTATTTGTATTGTATCATTTCTCTATCTCTAATAATATGTAACTCTCCTATAAATATAGGCGATTTGTCGAATTACATTAAATATTATGTCAATGTGCTTAGTATTAATAGACAACTATCAAAATATCACTAGTCGGAATCCCCAGTAAACAGCACAAACCTCATGTTCCATGGGTATTGACCATAGACTATCAAGGCGATTAATCATCTGAAACGCAAGCAAATCAATGAACATAGCAAGTTGTTTGAAACATTCGCTCTTTTCAACATGCAAATATCCATGCAAGTCCACTGAAAGAAATCATCATCAATGCAAAACACTGTGGCTACTATCTTTCAGGATCAGCAACACTATAGCTGCTATCTTTCAGTAACCGACATGGATATCCTGATAATGAATTCTGTAAGCTGATATTCTTCTCGGGTTATCAGTCCACAAGCGAAGTAGTCAATAAAAACTATAATTCTTGACAAGAAGGAATTTAGCCTTGTGTACTTTCTCATGCTATGTAGAAGGAGGGGGTTGGATATTAGGGTCTCAGTCCATCTCAAGAATCCTAAAAAGAAAATGAAATTCCCTGAATCTTAATGCATTTCACCATGATATTTGCTTCTAGAATCCACACAAAACAGCTCTGATTTTTAGCCTCCTATTTGAAATCCCTACTGATTCAACGGGACACTGTACTGTTCTCTTGACCATTCTCTGCCATGCCCCATAGAGCTTACGAAGTAACCAACACAGATATAATATTTTAACAATCTGAAGTTCAAATGCCAGAGTGTTCAAATATCTGCAAAAGATTTTGGTTTGGTTATAAAGGAGAGGTTCGAGCCAGAGACCTCTGAAGGGAGAGTGGGGTATATATGGATTCTGAAGGGAGGGTGGGGTATATATGGATGCTGATTGAGCTACAAGCTCATAGGACACGCAAAAACTAATCAATAACACAAGTAAAAAGCCATCGGTTTGTGCTTAAAAGAACAATAATTCATCTCTTTGAACACTTAAAATTTGTTTGAATCTTTTCAATGAATGAAGTTAGCTTCGGGCTACACTATATGGTCACCGAAGTGGAACCCAGTAGCAGACTTGACAGAATTTCTCGACCCTCCTCATGCAAGCAAAATGTCAATAGGAGGAGACATAAAACTCAAGGTTGGGGGGCAGCTTGAAGTGCTTATCAAGGAGACAAAACTGGGTGCCCTTACTGTATAACATGAAGCACTTGCATGAACTGTTCTTATCCACTCTATAGGAAAGAGCACCATTGTCTTGCAATTGGGGCAACTCGAGCATAGAATCTTTGCCACTCAACTTTTTCTTAGCATATATAGCAAAATACGACAAATTGTTGCAGGAGGAGGATTTATTATACCAAAATAATTTTAATTGGACAATACAATCAAACTGGTTGGAATAATTAATAAATTAAGAATTGATTAGTTTGGTTAAAATCATATAACAGCTTCTTCCAAAAAAAAAAGTATGAAATATATATTTCATACTGATTTTAATGGAAATTTTATTTGAGTGTTCATATAACTTTCTATTCAAGTTAATTCAAAATATTATTATTTTAATATTTTTATATACTATAAAAAACTTGGTATAGTTCATAACCCAACTCAAAATTCATGTCAAAAGTTAGATGGATTAAAGAAAAATGTTATAATTTTAATTTATTTTTTAAAATAAAATAATATTGTATTGAAAAATAAAAAGAGTCTTAGCTAGATTTTGATTAGATCAAGTTTTAACATGGTTTAATGTGCAATACTACCTGAACAAGGTTTTAAATTATGCATTACTAATTTGAGTTTAATAACACTAATTTATATATTATTTAAAATATAATTTAAATTAAAAATTAAAACCATATAAAAATCTTTGACAATGTATGGGATAGCAAAATCATAGTAAAATAAGAGTGAAATTATAGTTTTAAAATTTAAATTGATCTAAAAAGTGATGAAAGACTTAATCAACTTAAAATTCAAATTAATTCGAGTTAGAATATAACTTAGCTAGCCTATTTTATTATGAAATTACAAATTTAATTGGTTAAAAATAGAAATTATTTATGAAAAAGGCAACCCATCTCTTTTTCTGTTTATTGTGATGATCAAATTAATCTTTTATGTTTTTTTTTTTTTAAAAAAGAGTATTTAGAGTTAACAACACAAATGCATCATGTTTATAGAGGAATTAACAACGCTAGGGAAGACGAAATACACAGGAACCCACCTTGCAAGCTCAAAATGATCTAAATAGAGTTCATAAGATGAGAAGGGAAAAAATTATTTAGAGTTAACTAACAACATGTAATCATTTTCAAGGAATATTGGAATAATCATGCCATGAACATCCATATAACTATTATAGGTTCTTTCACTTGACAAGCTTGGTAAACCGGTGTATCATGTCACCGTGAGCTTCTTCAGCACTCCCGGCAGCTGTTTCATCCTCAAAATTGTAACGAACTGTCCATCCATGGCTGACGCCAGGGAGTATTTTCACATGGCTATCAAACTGCAAAATATAGAAATAGGTTTGATGCGTTGTGAGCATGAAATTTAGAGCCTCAACAGTAAGGGAAGCAGGAGAGTCCTCTTCAGCCTTTTCCGTCACTGCGTGGCATAGAAAGATCAAAGAGACTTGAATCCAAAATGCTAAATCATATTTGCCAAGTCATGAGATGAAAAGAGTTTAAAAAAAAAAAAACATTATCTCCTTAAAACATAGAACCTCTATGGGACAATCATCAATCTTGAGACTGAGGACCTATCACCTGAGATTTTGCAGATGAATTTCAATTGTTCTGGTGTGGAAGCACGGTCAATTTCAGCTCCCAGAAAAGCAACTGGAATCTTCACCTCTGAAACAGTATAACATGTCATCAATTGCAGTGCGCACACAAATATTTAGCACTCTCTAATTATCCAGAACCATTTTCAAGAGAAGGAGGGTGAAGCTAGACAACAATCACGATTAAGAAGAAACAAAGGGAAGATTGAAAAGTGGGAATCTTACCGTTAAATTTTCTGTCTTAGATTTGTGCTTGTTCCAACTTGAGCAAGTTCGTAGCTATGGGGGAGAATGACTCACTCCCCATCAAGAACCTGCAGCACCAATGGAATTCATGCCTTTACTTCTTAGAGCAGCAATTACCAATTTCGCATCTTCATGTCCTTTGTCCTACAGATGTAGGAAGACTGTCACCTAGTCTTTTTCTCCAACTCATGGATTTCACTACTATGACATCCCACAAATGGCGATGTCCATTGCTCTAGAAACTCACCGTGCTATCAAAATCAGGCTTGCTTAGATCAACTGGATCACCACATAAAAAATCAGGAACAACCACAAAGAATGCAGCAGCTGCGACCCAGGAAGAACAATGAAATTACATAAATATTTTGATGAGATCAGTGATAATTGTTATTTGTTGATATTGATTAAGCTAAGAGCTGTCTATATGAGGGCAAGTGTTCTTGAAGGTTTCCAAAGCCCAGATTTCTTTTTTTGGCATTAATCAAAGGGCAAAACAATACCGAGTTTTAACTTCTAACAGTCAAATTCAAATTCAGCCTCCACAAATTTACTTGTTGAGGGGCAAAGAAGCAGGTTCACACTCTACAAAAGATTTCACATTGAGAAATGGTTCAAAAACAAAGGTTACTGCTTATTGGATCTTCTGATGTCATCGTTTTCTTTTCCCCATTTTGAATCGAATCTTAAAAATGGTCAAGGATTTCCTCTTTTTACTTTTTCAACGTTATTATTTTGTTTGATGATGATTCTCTGTTAAAGAACATAGTCAAGAGCCATTGGAGATTATCTAGCTTTAGCTAGCACAAGAGAGAATTCTATCAGCTTTCTAGACCCTGACACCATCGTCCAAGTTCATCATACAATGAAAACTGCAAAA